TCACACAAAAAAAAATCAAGCATTTCGTTATATTTTCATAAGATATTATGATAGAAAATTGTTACAATCCAGTAAAACATTCATTTTGATCATTATTCATAAAGAAATAGATCCAATGCTAAATGTAATTTTACATTAGGCTATTAGGAGGTGCGTTTGTATATTGGTAACATTTGTTATTACATTTTTATTATGTTTTGGTATAGAGGAAAAAAGTCATAATGATGGAATTATGCATTTTCATTCAGATTTCGCACTGGAAGATGTGTTAGAGATCCTTTAATTCATGATAAGTTAAACTTGCTGAGTGATTTACATCGTGTTTCCGCACCTCCATGCATTGGCAAAGGCCAATCCTTATTTACTTTAGTCATAATGTTTATTTCCGTTACTATGCATCCTCAGTAGGTTGCTCTTGCACATTAATTGATTTCCACATGGCAAAGTGACATTAACACACTCCTGAATGTATTTATGAAGCTGATATGAGCTGAGGGTCGCTACGTTAAACGTCACGAGAGGTTTCGGGCTCCCGTAAATGTCTCTTGTACGGAGATGTGTTTACGACCTCGGGAGTGTTTTGAAAATACACACGTTGCGAGAAACTAGAGATTAAGTTGTTTAATGATATAAACAGACCATTTACGATATCGTAAGACGTTAGTAAATCCGGCCCATGGAAGAGATCTGCGAGGATGTGTGGACGAATACGGCACCATATAACACCTTGACGAGGACTACCAGGAAGTCGAGGAAGACCTAGGCGAGACTTCCGAGGACGTATGGATTCACCAAGAGCCAAGAAGAGGCCAACAAGGAGCAACACGAGGATGATCAAGGAAAGAACATGAAAACGAGAGGACCAGCAGATCGGGTCCGATGATGGGTCACCCTTGAGGCAAATCAAAACACATCAACGCCTCTAGGACGAGGCGTGAGTACTTCGCCAAGCAGGGGCCGGATTTACTAAACTCTCTCGTAAACGCTGTCTCTCGTAATAGTTACGAGAACTATCAACGTTTTCTCAACTAACGACGTAACGACCCATTGTCAAACGCCAAACAACGAGAGTCCAGGGGTCTCGTAACCGTCACGACCGAATTTCTGTTGCTAGGTGTCGTAGGGTTTTATTTCCTAAAAGAACGGCTCGATCGACCAATCAGCTAGTTAGCTCGCTGAACTGATGCAACACTAATGAGATTTACTTAAAATAATTTCTATATCACCACCTGGTGATATTGATCATTACCACCTTTATGAATAGTCTTATAAATTCTGATACCTATATATATATATATATATATATATATATATATATATATATATATATATATATATATATATATATATATATATATATAGCTAAAGCTATACCCATCTCTCTCTCTCTCTCTCTCTCTCTCTCTCTCTCTCTCTCTCTCTCTCTCTCTCTCTCTCTCTCTCTCTCTCTCTCTCTCTCTCTCTCTCTCTCTCTCTCTCCCTATATATAATAATATATATATATATATATATATATATATTATATATATATATATGTGTGTGTGTGTGTGTGTGTGTGTGTGTGTGTGTGTGTGTGTGTGTGTGTGTGTGTGTGTGTGTGTGCGTGCGTGCGTGCGTGCGTGTGTGTGTGTGTGTGTATGTTTGTATATATGCACACACACACACACACACACACACACACACACACACACACACACACACACACACACACACACACACACACACACACACACACACACACACATATTTATATACATATAAATGTATATATTTTTGTATATATAGAATTGTATGTATATATGCATGTATGAATATAGTATATATATAGACATATATGTAGAGGGAAAGAAATCACACACATTTATATTCGTTTCTGTCTCAAAAAAAAAAAAAAAAAATCAAGCATTTTGTTATACAAGATATTATGATTGAAATTTGTTACAATCCAGTAAAACTTTCATCTTAATCATTATTCATAAAGAAATGGATCCAATGCTAAATGTAATTTTACTTTAGGCTATTAAGAGGTGTGTTTGTATATTGGTAACATTTATTAAATATTTATTGTGTTTTGTTGCTATAGAGGAAATAGTCATAATGATGGAATTATGCATTTTCATTCAGATTTTGTACTTGAAGATGTGTTAGAGATCCTTTAATTCATGATAAATTAAACTTGCTGAGTGGTTTACATCAAGAGTTTCCGCACCTCTATGCACTGGCAAAGGCCAATCCTTATTTACATTAGTTATATATATATTTTTTCGTTATTATGCATCCTCAATGGTTGCTCTTGCACATTAATTGATTTCTACATGGCAAAGTGACATTTACACACTCCTGAAGGTATTTATGAAGCTAATATGAGCTGAGAAGGGTCGCTACGATAAGCGTCACTAGAGGTTTCGGGCTCCCGTAAATGTTTCTTGTACGGAGATGTGTTTACGACCTCGGGAGTGTTTTGAAAATACGCTCGTTGAGAGAAACGAGAGTAACTTGTTTTACGATATAAACAGACCATTTACAATATCGTAAGACGTTAGTATATCCGGCCCCAGATATGTAGGCTCACAGACCAAAGAGAGAGAGTATGTATGAAAGGAAAAAAGAGAGAAAAAGAGAGGGAGAAAGAAAATTTCAGTAAAGCAAGAGGAAACAATTTCAATAAAGAGTATAACATACTACATGACATATTGCAGCATGCAAGCTCACAGATCAGACTACGTGGGAACATGCTAATAGTCCAAACTACGTGGGCGCCATGCCCCGCTTGTGTGTGTGGAAGTGTACCTCACTTATCATTGGGTTGGAGTTGAAGCCTACTTGTATTTGCAGAAAGAGAAAGGGTTGTCTAAGTAAGGAGCTGTAGGGGGGATCACGAAAAATCAGTCTCATTTGGCTGGGCTAAATTGAGTATTTAAGATATTTGTATTGTTGAGTGGGGTACGGAGAGGTGGAGAATAAGGCTGCAGAATAGTAAAATAGTAATACGGAAGGATGGAGTGATTGATGAAGAAGGTTATGAGAGCAGAGGTGAAGACCGAGTCTCGACTTGGGTGGATAATGTACTTGTTGGCATTGACGAGTGGGTAGTAGTTGCAGTGTTCCCAGTCGTGGTCAAATGAAAGCCTGGGGTTGGGGAACCGGGAAAGTTTGAATTGGTGGGGTTATTTGATGAAGGGGTAAGTCTCACTGCCCCTAACAAGGATATAACATATTCATTATTGGTAAGCCTGGACTATGTAGGGGAAAGAAACTGTCCACCCCTCAGGGGTAAGGGCTAGACAAGTAAAACGGGAATACCGTGCCCATGACTCCCTTAGGCCGTTCAGGACTGGCACAAAGTCAGCCTTTCATCCTTTCAGCACAGCTCTTACACCTTGGGAACTGGATAGCAGAAGGGGTTGGAGATGGGACAGAAACGAAAAAAACAGAAGGGGAAAAAAACGTGCAAAATTAGTTGAGTCGAGGGCTGAGGCCCATGGTAGGGGCGATCCCCAGCATTGGGTCCCAGTCCTTGCCTCCTAAGCCCCCACGATAACAACGGGCAAGGAAGAGGGGGGGGTCTTTAATATGAAGGTAAACACTGCTATTTAATATTTAACATAACTTATTTACACTATTGACTAGTGATGTTAACTCTTAGGGCTCTGCAAATATGGTGTGAAGGTCCTGATTTCTACATAAAATTCATTAATGCCATTATGCATTTTGTATATGCGGTTGTCTGCCTATTTTACATAAGTGGGTTATAATGGATTTGAAAACACACTTGGGTTTAATATTTATTTCTTTGAGTAAGAAAATTGTATTTACAATCAGATCAGTTTTAATTATAAACCTTACCTCATTTAACAAAAAATGGGCATGAAAAACATTCACAGAAAAAACAGTGACATTTATATTATACATAATATAGGTTTAGATTCAAGCTTACTTTTGGTTGTACTTTTTAGCTAATTCATTCACATTTACTCTCCATTGCTTATCCCATCATATGACGGGAAGCTCTCCAACTGATCAGAGGACTGGTGTGATGTACTATATGTACTGTCAGACTTCTCACATGAGTTGGTTGACTGGTCAGCAAAACCATCTGAGGAGGAATAGGAAGATAGAAGAGAGACTTGAGCCTCTTGACAAACCTGTGTTTTACTCAGAGTCTGATTTCTTTTTGCATTTGTTAATGAGGCCCTGACTTTGAAAGTGGCTTTGCTTATTTCCTGGACTCTTGGCTCAGTGTTAATCATTGTAGCTTTTCTTGGCACACTAGCTTCTGCAACAACAGCAGAATCAAGCTGAGCCTTACTCTGCATAATTTTGTCTATGACTTCCTTGGCTGCCTCTGCTCCTTCAACAGTAACATCTTGAGGCTTCATAAAACCACGCTTGATTAGGGATTCCCAGAACTCTTCTTTTTGCTGTCTTAATTGATCTGCAATGCTTATCAGCTTTTGCCCTTCATTCACATTTAGACCCTCTATACTTATACCTACTTCATTCACTTCTGAATATGAAGACTTACTATTATTAGACATAACACTCCTACTGCCCTGCTCTGAGGAGGGATTATCATCTGCAAGATTCTTTTTCAAAAAGAAACCACAATCCAAGATCATCTCAGTGATGCATGTGCGCTCATTTGTGA